AGGAAAACTGGAGGATCTGTGGCGCGACTGCACGAACGACACGGCGGCACAGACGGAGGGGCGCAATGAGAGACAGAGAACACGAGTGAGAGTGGACGAAGGGATGCACGAATGGTATTTCGTGTGTATGTATGTGTGTGTGTGTGTCTATGGGTGCCACGTTAAACATTTTTGCACAGTTTTAGTAACATTATGTACAGAGAAAAACAGAAAAATAAAGCTGTTAATAGAATTTCAGTGATCTGACGATTCGAGTTAAATCCAGTATGATTAGTATACGGAAGTAAATGCCGTTGAATCTATAGAATTCCCAACAACTTGCGCGATTGAAATAAGAAGTCTTCTTTATTTAATAGTAACATGATTGAAACTAATATTTGAGTTATTGAAAGAAGCATCTCCCATTTAAGCCTCGACCATCACAATCGTGATGATCACAGACATCATGTCTTTTTTTGACTCATTATGTGCCCAAATATCGCAATTGTAATGGTGGGTTCCTATGTGAGACCTACATAATAAAAATTTATTTTTATAAATTTTTCCTAAGATTTTAAGATAGTTTTGAAAGGAAAATTGCACTTGCGAAAAGTTTCCAGATAAAAAGTTTCTTGAGTCTTAAAGAGATATATGTATAATGTATTACTTTATACATAATATTGCTGAATCAACATTTGCTTCGATTATGCGCTCTGTTGGAAATTCTACCAATTCAACATTCTTTCCTAAATGTGTAAATACATATAAATATGTATACTGAGAAAAAACAATATTTATTCGGTGGGTACTGATAACATATTTACTTAAATCTATTTTTTATTTAAATATAATAAACCATATAAAGTTAAAAAAAAAAATGTATATTTCGTCATTTGAATATATTTCTTTCTTAGTACAAAAATACATGTATTAATAGTACAAATAAATAAGTTATTATAGTCCTCACCAAATAAATTCTTGTTACCTCCTGAATACTTCTCTCAGTGTAGCAAATAATAATAATAATAAAATGAACAAGGCTTGTGAATGTGTCGGTGTAGAAGAGAATTCGCACAATTGTGTCCGTGAGAGAGTATCTAGCGACCAGCTACGACAATCGACTGCTCGAACGATGCTTCAGACGAGGAAGACGATGCATGACAGAGTAGGCAAAGACGGGCGAGCATTCATTTCTCCGGTGGGAGCCGGTTGCATATACCGTTTACAGCAAGATGAGCCATGTGTGTCGTGGTGCCGACGCGATTGGACGCAGTACAGGTATAATCGCCGGCGTGTCTGGCCGCGACCGATTCGATAGTTAAGACGCTGTTCTTTCGGTTCGTGCTGCCTACCACCACGTCGGAGTCGCGACTGTCGATCAGCGTCCCGTTAAAAGCCCAAGTGATCTCGATGGGCTGATCACCTTTCGTGACGGAACAGGTGACTGAGACCAGCTCGCCCCAGCTGGCCGGCTCATCCCCGAAAGCGAAAGGCAGTATTTGCGGGGCAACTGGAAAGAGCGACTGGGAGAAACGAGGCAAGAAAGAGCAAGTGTCGGTGCGACGCGCAACTCTCGGTGCGTTTCCTATCGCGCGTCTCGTTCGATCGACGTCCGTTTTAACGGGACCATTTAAGGCTCCTGGTCCCTCGCTGTAGTCGTTTTGTTTCTGACGTCAGAAGTGAGAAAACGCATGCCCAAAATTCTTGCAAGACACGTCGGAATAAAAGGATGCGTCTGTAAAGTGACATTTGCGATTGATGGAGCGCGTTTGTAAAATATTCCGAAAATTCTCCTTTCGCTCCAACAATCAATAAGTAGGGGGAAGTAGAGTAATGTGACGCTCAGCGGGTAATTCCGCTTATTCAAATATCTTCAGAGAGAATGATATTGCAAACACGTGATCGGTGCTATTACCAGGCGAATCTTATTGTGAGTCTCCAGTCGTCGAATGACTGCCGTTTGAAGCAGTTTGCTTTTTTTCCTAGTCCTGGTGTTATTTTCATATTAGTTTCTTATAGTTTGTTGATTACACTGGGAGACTAAATGACATCAACCCCTTAATTCGCAAGCTCGAGCAGCATTTTATTTTATATCACCATGATGCACGCGCCCGTGTTAACTCGGGTATGAAAAATAATTACACTAAAGTTATGACATAACACAATATTGAAAAACTATTTTAGTATTTACATCATTTTTCTAGTCGTAGAAAGACCATATGTAAAGAAGTTAATAAAGTTTCGATATAAATTGGAATATACTATTTAAGTTTCCATTGTGAGCGTTATTACTCTGCTTTCTCCTAACCGTAAAACCAACATGACATGCAACTTTCCTTCTTAGTCTATCCTTTCTTACAATTCTGTCACATTAATTTTATATTGTATATTTAGTTATTGTTAAAGTAAAAGAAAACTTTCCGGGATATCCTATAAATATGTTCAATCGATCGCACAAATTTCATTTTATGGCCATCTCCTTTTATTTCAACGTACTTCACGAGAATTTTGGACGTACATTTCATCGCTTCTGACGTTATTAATCAAGATGGCCGCGGCGAGAAAACAAAAGCTTCAACCGAGTGCGACGTGGACCAGTAGATGAGATTGGTATGGCGGCGGAAAGTGTGTCCGTTTCGTCGATTCTTCGGCAAGGATAATGGATAACACGATGGATAGACGGGGGTGGGAGGGGGTTTACGTAGGCGTTTGTGCGTGTGTGTATATATACGGTGAACTATGCACAGCTAATCTATTGCGAGGGGAGCCGTGCGGAGAAGAGGGAGGTGAGGTCGTGAGGATCGGGGTCGTACCGTTGACGGTCAAAGTTGTCGATCGACTGACGGAACCGGCTAGATTCGACGCCGAGCAGGCGTACTCGCCGGCGTGGCGCGCCGAGACGCCGTCGATGATCAGGGTGCTCAAGTACTTGCTGATTCTGGTGGTCGTGATACTCGTATCTTTCGACGTGTCGATCGGTACGCCGTTGAAGGCCCACGATATGTCCATGGGCATGTCGCCCTTCAGGATCGAGCAGGGCACGGACACGGAGTCTCCCCAATTGGCGATCTCGGCATTGAAAGCGATAGGTAGTAGCTGCGGTCCGACTAGACGTGTCAGCAAACAAAGCATCGCACTTCATTTCGCAGCGGCGTTCGCGAAATCCCACACGCACACACACACAATCTCCCTCTCTCTCTTTCTCTCCGGGTACCGATCTGATAGACACACCTGTGCGGTCAGTCGAACCTGTTCGTCGATCGTTTCATTCGTCGTCTACATATATATATATATATATATATATATATGTATGGTATCGACGTTCCCGTGGGAATCGTGTGGACAAAGGATTTTCGCTAACACTGCAGCAGAGGACGAACGAGAGGGAATAGCCGTGGTGTGTCCGGAGAGGGTCGATGCAAAGGGACGAGAGACAAGGTGTGACAGAACGCAACTGAAGCGTGAAGAAAAAGACTGTGTTCTCTAGGAAGAAAATCGTAGGTCCCGAACCATTAACGGTGAGGACGGTCGAGTGGGAGGCCGTTCCAGCCGCGTTTTCGGCGGTACAAACGTACTCCCCCGCGTGTCTCGCGGTGATGACCGAGATCATGAGCATGCTAACGCGATCCGCGACCTTCTTCGCGAGTACGCCGGAGGAGCCGCCCATCTCCTCTCCGGGATAGCTCCAACGTATGTTCAACGGCAGGTCGCCGGTCGGCACGATACACTGCAGATTCGCGAACTCCCCGGCGTTCATCGGTAGCTTCGTGAACGCGAACTCCTGAACGTCGGGCGGCACTGAGGGTGGAGGAACGATGTATGGAAGTATATGATTAGGTCGCGTATGTGTGTACCCGCGCACCTTTGTGCGTCCTGCGTCACGCTCGCGAATGTCACAGGCACGTTGCTGGAAATGCTTTGATATCGAACGATCGCACACGATTTGTCCTTTTTCTTTGATTTAAGGTAGTCTTGCTGGCCTGTTGTCCGTATAAATCTGATCTTCGCGCGAATGAATCAGTGAAATGTTTATATCAATCTGACTGATGATGTACAGTTTTCGCGAAGGCGACGTCTCATTGCAACATTGCGACGGGATACCAACGGTATTCATACACCCGATCGTGTGCCTGTAACACGCACGGACGCACGATACTCTGTCGTCGCTACGTGAGATTGTCGGGAGACGAGAATATGAATTGAAAAGAAACGCGCATCAGAGAGTCCTTACTGACGATTCAGGTCGGCCACCGCCATACCAACTCCCAGACTTGCCACGAATGCGTGTCCTCTGCGGCTCGACGTACAACAACATTTGCTCTACGCTAATGAAAAGGTCGTAAACGCCCGGCAACGGGATTGCCCGTGCACGTGTCCGAGTCCGTGCCCGTGTCCTACGTACAGTCGCACCCTTTAGAATCTACGACGCGTCTCCCCTGCACTGCACGCGTAAACGACACCCTCGGCAACAATTCGCCGACACTTTCACGCCGGCGCGATACAATAGAGTTCAGTGACAGGTTCAACGGACACGCTAATCCGCTGCAACGACAGTAGCTGCAAATAAACTCGCTCGCTAGTCTCATATCATTACAGTTATCTCGTCGATTAGTCGGCTGGCCGGACGATCGCTGCAAATGTAAATGTGCCTTTCGTTTTTCGATGATACACATTACGGAGACACGTTGCTCTCGTGAAGAGAATTAATCATTAAAAAAATCCAAAAAGTATAACCATTTCGAATACACGTCGCTTGATACGTGCTAAAAATATCTCGCAGAACGTTGCCAACGGGAGAGAAGCTCTTCTTCCAACTCGGAATGTTCTATGTGAAAACTTCATCGTATCGTCAGAGAAATTTTACGTCGAAGTTCAATTCTGTTAAACGCTGTTCAACAATCACTCGACTTTCTAAATTCGATACGTCTTTTCTTCCCGAACTTTGCGATGGTCCGAGTAAAACGAGAGGAAGTTACGCGATAAATCTGACAAGATTTAAGGAAGCAAAGTGTCGAACTTACCCATGACTTGAACTTCCAGTGTTCCTCGTGCGCTGTAACCCTGTGCGTTGCGTGCTACGCAGGTGTATGTTGCCTGGTCGCTCATTCGTTCAACGTTCTCGATGATGAGTGTGCCGTTGGGGAAGACCTTTTGCTTTCTGTTGATCGGTAAGACTCTGGTGTCTCGTTCCCAGACGATGCTCTCGATCGGGTATCCACCGACAGGGCAGGTGACGCGCAGAGTTTCGCCAGCGACGATAGCCTTCTTGTCCATGTGGCGAATGAACGGCAAACCGTAAACGTTGAGACGCGCAGAATGCTCGGCAGATCCAACCTGTGAGAATACATCACGTGGCATATCGTATTTGAAATATCGATTCTTCAAAGATCTGCTGAGTCCGTGAGAAATATCACGCGAAAGAAGAGAAATTAACACGGTCGTTCAACGACCGATTTAATAATAATAAATCAATCCCACAATTCAGGATTGGGTAAGATAATTTTTATTTTTAACCCGGTCAATCGATTCGATAACTGACAGATGGATTAACTGCTGAGAGTAAAAATGTATGTCGCGCATTTTTGCGAAAAGTTATTAAAACCGGACTAGGAGAGGACCAACTTTCGACGCAGCGATGCACTTGTAGAGCCCACCGTCGTTGTTGTGAATGCTCGAAATATTCAGATGCGAGACGACATCACCATTGACCGTGACATATTGTCCCACTTGCAGTCTGTCGGTGTTTGACAGGCGTTTCCCATCGAGTTCCCAGGTGATTTCAGGAGTGGGGTTGCCGCTGGCGACGCACTTCAAAAACATGCTCGGTCCAGGCTGGAGGGTCTCCTCGGCGAAGGCTTGACGAATCTGCGGGGGCTCGACTGTCGATAATCGAGGAGAGACGGAATAATGTGAAAAATCGACGTTGCTCGAGGTCGGTCTGACCGAAAACGGAATAAAATCGACGGCAGCCGCTCGTCAACTCACATCTTCCGCCAAGTTTCAGCTCAGCCGTTGCCTGCGCGCTCTCCTGGTCGTTTCTGACGAAGCACTGATACATTCCCTTGTCCTCCTTCTTCACGCTCTCGATCCTCAGCACACGGTCCTCCAGTCCAAGGGGCTTGCCGTCCTTCAGCCAGGAGATGGTCTTGATCGGGTTGCCTTGAACGGTGCAGGTGAAGGTCGCTGGTCTGCCGAAGTCGATGGTCTGGGTGCTCGGCTCGATTTCCGCGGTCAGTGGCGCCGTGACGGTCAAAACGGTCTCCACGCTCTCGCCGCCGACGGAATTGTTGACGATGCAGAGGTACTTGCCGGAATCTTCGACTCGCGCCTCGCGGATGATCAGAGTGCCGCTCACCTGACGTACGCGGTCATCGAGCTGGATCGGTTGACGCCTCGTCGTGCCTTCGATGTACTTGTACCATCTGGAAAAAAGAGGATGAGAACTGTCGATTTTCGCGCCAACGCCGGAACGAGGGAGCGATCGCCTCGTTCCGTACCATCGTGTTCTTCTCGAATCGAAATTCGCCGGTCGCAAAATGGAACAAGCGCCTCGTGACAGATAGACGTCGGGAGAAATGATCGTGGAGTCATTTTAATCTCGACGAATTTAATTCGCCTTTCTCCCATCGCTCGCTGTTACAGTTATAAACGCGCAACATTCTTTTATCTCGTCCGCGGCGATACGAAAGGGATCCCTTCTGCGCGGGAGAGACCCTTTGTTTCGCGCACGCTTTCATCATGGCGTATCGCTCACGCGCGAGAACGTGATCGAATGAGAGAGCGAGCGAATGAAGTGACGGTGGAATTTTTGCGAAATATGAGTACAACACGCAGTTTGCTCCATTCTACGCTACGTTGTGCGCCTTATTCTCTATGCGGGGCTTTGGGCGTCTCTGGGCACGGCCTTCCGACGGTCTTCCACCAATTCGTCGGTGTCGCGTCTCTCACGCGAGACAATTATAAAAACAAAACCAAAATTCAAGAGAGAGAGAAAGAGAGAGAGAGAGAGAGAGAGAGAGTAAAACAAGACGCTTCTACACCATAGCGATTTACGATCAAGAAGCGGTGCAGGCGAGAGATGAGGGGAGGAACGAGGAAGTTGGAGGGGCGGGGGGG